AAACACTAGCAATGGACTTTGAGTAGCCTCACCGACAAAATCACTGGAACCCTGGTTTCTATTGGCCTTCAACATAAACAAAGATCAATACACGTTGGTATGATTATAATTGTGGAAGAAATATAAACTTTAAATATTTAATCGACCAATACTAACTCTACTGGGATATTTAAATGCGTTGTCCACAGACAGCACCGTCTTTGAAAAGAAATCATGTCGAAATAATGCATAAATACACTACAATTTTTAAGTGGGTGCTAAAAGTTAGAGATAGTGCAGGCTCGTAAAAGGAGGGGTATCGGGCCACATTGGTCATGGATCTATCGAAAAATCAAATACTTTTTAAACTGAAAAAAAAAATATGATGGTGCATGCCACTGCATGGAGCACAGATTACAGATTTTGAGAGAATAGAAGAGGCAATGAATGTTAACATAAAAATCTTATTTAAGCCTGGTCACTTCGCAAACTAACTATACGCATGATGGCAGAAACCTTACGAGTCCTTGATCAAACGCCTTTCTATGGAACGCCGGGACTGTCTTATATGAGGATTAAACATTATATGCAGTGTTCTCTTCATTATATGTGGTACTATTTTAATTATATGAAGTAGTTTTTACAGTATATCATGTGCAACTTCCATTATATACAGTACTTTTTTCATTATATGATGTAGATATGTCATTATATTATGTACATCTATCATTATATGAGGTGTTTTTATATGAGGCGCCGTTTTGGTATTTACTGCCAAAAAGTGATATCACCTATTCGAATAGGTGATATCACCTATTCAATTGGTGATATCACCTATTCGAATAAGTGATATCACCTATTCAGCTTCTGAATAGGTGATATCACCTATTCGAATAGGTGATATCACCTATTCGAATAAGTGATATCACCTATTCGAATAGGTGATATCACCTATTCGAATAGGTGATATCACTTATTCGAATAGGTGATATCACTTATTCGAATAGGTGATATCACTTATTCCTTTTGAATAGGTGATATCACTTATTCGAATAGGTGATATCACCTATTCAAATCAAATAGGTGATATCACCTATTCGAATAGGTGATATCACTTATTCGAATAGGTGATATCACTTAATCATTTTGAATAGGTGATATCACTTATTCCAATAGGTGATATCACCTATTCAAATTATTTATGAAATAACAACTGCTCCCAAGACTATAGCCTTTAATTCTCATTTACTTTCACTTTCGTTTTATAACTTACCATTCTTGCAGACAATGGATTACAGCTTCGCATTTAGTTTTAAGCAGCCCAGTAGAATTTGTAGTTTATTTTGCTCACAAATTATATTTATTACACTTATCTATCATGTATACTATAGGACAATTCAAAGGGTCTGTAAGTCTCGTTGACTTTCACTTTCGTTTTATAACTCCCGGGTACCTGAGCGTTCTTGGAGACAATGGATTACTTAAGTTGTAAGCATCGCAGTGGAATTATTAAACTTGTAGTTTGTTTTGATTCCCGATTGTTGTAAAGAAGAGGAGATAATGGATTGATAGATGCAGGTAAATAGCGTTTAATTGCTTTATTTTTTCATTACATAACGTAAACACAAGCTATTCCGAGGGGGCCAAGATTAGCCAACATACTTAAGCATAAAGGGAAAATTAAATCGTTTTTATTTTAAAATCGTCTGTATTCAAAAGGTACGCTTATCTACAGATTGGTTTCATAAATTTAAAGCATTGATTTAGCTTACAATATGGTATAATTTGGAGTATTGGACACAGGTATACCATAGGCACTCCCCAGCTTAATTGTTAAAAAATATATATCTGCTATACTATAAACATAACAAGGCATGAAACTAGCCTCCATGTTGGATTCCGCTTAGGGGCACTTTCTGACTAATAGCGAGAATTTCTCGCCCAAGTCGGACTTTTCTCAGACATCGGAAGCTGTCATTTATTGAAATAAAATCAAATCAGGTTGAATCTCGCAGTACGTCCGTCGCATTCACGCGTTTTCTAGCATTTCTCTGCAAACCAGGTCTCCTCGGCCGGAACTTAAAGGTTTATGGGGGTATAGATAATTCGATCATCGTTTATCTTCAAAGTACGAGTATGACATTTCGCGGAAAACTAACATTTAATTTTTAAAAAATGAACAAAATGTATTGTGAAATATATTTATTTGTATATCAATAAGACATTCAATTTTTCTTTGCATTTTTATTACTTCTATTGATAAAAAAGAAGTCTAGCAGATACTTGTACTTGTGAAAATATATTGTCACCCGGTTAGTCTGTAAGTCGGCAGAGCCAATGGGTTTTATATATATATATATATATATATATATATATATATATATATATATATATATATATATATATATATATATATATATATATATATATATAAGCAGTCTTGAAGACAGTGGCAGATTTATCGGGGGGGGGGGGGTCACCCCCTTTCAAATTTTTCAGAAAAAAAGGAAAAGGGGGGGGGGGGTATTCACTATAAAAGAAAGTCTTGATAAAACTTATGCTTTAATACTAATTTTAACTACCGGTACAAGTATTATGAGTTTCTATTGCCACTTAATCTTTTTGACCCCCCCCCCCCTTTGAAATCCCGGATTCATCTCTGGAAAGTATACTTGCATACATGTAAATTATTAAGTATTACTTTTATTGCAAAATAAATAAATATACAAGGACATGAATATTTTATCCTGATAGCGGGACTTATTTCTTATAGAAGGTGTCATACAGATATACTATAATAAAATGGGACAGTTCTAAAGTTTAATACATGTTCAAAAATTTCACTGAAATATTATGTAAGTGGTTTGGATATTTTAAATATTTTGTAAGGGTAATTATTTCTAAACATATATTTTGGCATGTTCACATCACCGTGAATATTTACAAAGCTGAAACTAACTTCATTAGCTTACTCTTTTACAGCCTTCCATTGAGAATGATAGCACGTATGGTTCTGATTAGTTTTGACCAAAAACCGCTTCAGTCTGGACAGTTAACAAATGCAAAGGCAGCTAGATTAGGAGTCATTTAATAGACTATAGTTTATGTCATTACAATGAACTTCCTGAGCCCCGCCCCGCGCTGATTTCACTGCAACAACCACATATAAACACAATCGTATACACAAAGTGCTAAACTATTAATTTCTTCTTGCGCAAGATTGTAAAGTGTGAATTTGCACATGCGTAATTCTGAGGGGACAACTATTTGATTCCGATAGGTGTTTGCAGATTTTGGAGAAAAAAAATCTGTCCTTAAAAATGTTGGGAAAAAAATTATTTTCCACTAGGAAGAAAATGAATTATTTGACTTCGAGTGATGTTAACACCCCCCCCCCCCCCCCCCGCAGACACTAATTTTCTCATTTTTTCTTTATTTTTTCCTACCCACTTTTTTGGTGAATAGTAGAAATAAAAAATATTTCCCTAACCATCTTGGAAATAAATAATCTGTCCTTCAATGACATGAAAATAAACATTTTGACTCGAAAAAAATGCCACCCCCCTTTAGAAACAAATTGTCGCCCTCTAAATTGCATTATTCTGTTTTGGTGTCTCTGTACCATCATTGAACTAAAAAAAAAAGCCAAGTCTTTTCCTTGTATATAGTTCTTTTTCTTCAAATACATTTCACAATTTTCGTGCAGAACTTACTTCTGCAAATATCGGCTTTATTTTATTATATTTATTTACTAAACATTTTACCACCCTCCCCCCTCCTCCCCCCGGTCAAATCCATCTGCTTAAACGTGTCCCTCCCCCTCCTTTCGCCCCTATAATTTTGCCAACACATGAATATACTAATACTATGCAATAGAAAACAAACCAACCTTACGATTGTCCTCCTTCAATAATATTTCTTCTTGTCAAAGAATTGTTGTTCAGTTGAACCCCCCCCCCCCCAGCACACACACACAAACACACACTGAAACTGCTTTTTATGGGCCTGAAAATGTGTATTAAATCTTGCAAGGTCCTCTTGATGTAAAATTATATTTATTTCACAGTACATTCGTTTGTTATGAAAAACAACGTTAGCTTTCCATGAGATGCACTTTGAAGGTAAACGATGATCGAATTATCTATACCCCCATAAACCTTTAAGTTCCGGCCGAGGAGACCTGGTTTGCAGAGAAATGCTAGAAAACGCGTGAATGCGACGGACGTACTGCGAGATTCAACCTGATTTGATTTTATTTCAATAAATGACAGCTTCCGATGTCTGAGAAAAGTCCGACTTGGGCGAGAAATTCTCGCTATTAGTCAGAAAGTGCCCCTAAGCGGAATCCAACATGGAGGCTAGTTTCATGCCTTGTTATGTTTATAGTATAGCAGATATAGGCCTATATTTTTTAACAATTAAGCTGGGGAGTGCCTATGAGGTATACATGAGATTGGGATATTGAATGCGATGTCATTGAAAGCAAATAAAAAAATAGATGTACCCAAATGCATCGACCATGGGAATACAAAGTTGAATACCACGTCGATAACATATGATCTTTGTAGAAAACACATTTTTTTAATTTAATTACTACAATAAATAAAAATGGTCAGCTCAAAATTGGTCATTCTGTAGGCTACCCTATCTATTCAGAAATAAAAATGGTCACATACACTCAAAAAATAATTATTTTTTATTCTACAAAGAAGAAGGCATTTTTTTCATTTACACATACAAACTGTATTAACTGCCAAGTTTCATGACCCCCCCCCCCCTTTTCCAATACTTCTACAATTATGAGACAGACTTTTTTTTCTTGAAATAGGCATTTTTCTCCATTTGTCATAACATATTACAGGGCTGCACAAGGTACTGAAAAAGGGACAGCACTTTGAGTGAATGTGTTATCCATGTATCTGCAAATGAAGCAGATCCCCCAGTTATTATACTCATGGAGAGTGTAACAACTTCCAACTTGTTAATGACGGAACTCCATTTAAATCAGGTACAAGTTAAAGTTTAGGCTGCACAATTCTTTATTACAATATTCAAAACTTAATAATTCAGGATCAAGTTCACACAAGCTCACATTCCATGGTTACTTACAACACCATTATGCTAGATAAATTTGTTATACACTTTCATGTTAAATAGTCAAATTTGATTGGTTTAAAAAACATTTGTTAACAAGTACTATTACCATACTGCATGCCAGACATTACATCCCATTGGTTGAAAATGCATGACTACGGGTAACAGTATATACAGTAATAAAAAATGTTAACTGTGCAGAATGTTTGCACGTTCGTTTCACCTTGTTGTTTTCTTTAAAATGCATTCTATAACAAGAAAAATATTACCTGTTTATTTTGGGTGATGTGAAATTCTTACCCCTTAAAAACCATTGCTGACCGAGGCGAGGTCAGCGATGGTTTTTGTGGTATAACAATTTCACGTTATCCTACTAAACATGTAATATTTTCATGTTATATGTACTTCTATTTGTAAATGTTAATGACTGTGAAAAACATAAATATTTATAAATTAGTAAAATCAATTTAATACACTATGAATACACAAAAGGACAAATTTGTACATAATTCTCTATGATTTGGTTAATTAGTTTATATAAAGGATGTAAATGGACATGGCATATCATTGTTAATATTCAAGAAAGTGTTCACTGTTTTTCTTGTAGATGCTCCTTTCCATCTGATGTTTTCCAGGTTTTTGTGAAAAGTTTTCTTAAAAATGGCACCATTCAACTACAAATACTATGCCAGTGGAACTGTGATATCAATCAACTGCTTATGACACTATTAATTGGCAGAGAATTTATTTTTTTTTATTTGGGACAAGCAATCTGTTTCAAACATTTTATACCTGCAAATTGGTACATGTACTTCATGAAATGCTTGAAGGATGCTAAAGGCTACTGAAATTCCAAGCCAGATGAAATTCAAAAGGATTGATACAAAAGTCATTTGAAGTTTTCTATTCTTAGTGATGAGTGTTTTTCAGGATGCCCTCTGATATCATAGGTACAACTGGTCACTGTCCTTTGTTAGTTACACATGCAGACAACTTATTAAGGCAGTGATATAAGTAGCTCGAAGTGATGCTTTATTGTTTTCCTCAGATTTATAACCTGGATTGATCTCTGATGCAGTAATTTAAAGCCATGTCTTTTCACTGTCACAAAGTACTGAAATAAAAATAATTTTGATTAAAATATTTCTTTTAATTCACATCATTAAATTTTTAAGCTACAGAAATTCAAATTAATTACCTATTAGTAAATAGAAATCTTTAATTGATTAGCAAGCCTTTGCATTGTCAGATCCTTTTCTGAAAGGGCCATTTACCTTTAACAATGTCAGGACAGGTGAGGCAACTGGCTGGTCTTCATGCTGGAAGTGTGTATTAACTCTGTAATCTTTTTAAACAAAACCATCCAGTGATGTCCTAAGATTGCCAGATGAGCAGACATATACCTGTATTTAAGAAAGATTCTGTAACATGACATAGAATTTTTGCACAGCTTGACGCACAACTGATGGTATCTTAGGTGCCTGCAAAATAATAAATCTGGCACATATTTATTTATTTGATACAAATCAGAACAAAATTTGTCCTTTTACAGAACAAATTATTTTCATTTTAAAGAAAAGAGAAATGCATATGTACTGTTTTAATACATATAACCTGTATTATTGGATATTTTCACCCCATTCTAATTTTTAAAATATTCACTCTTTCACCCTTGAAAACAATTTTGCCCTTTTAAAATTTGATCAGACACATTTGTGTTTAAAAGATATATGCTGCCTTCTTCGAATTTGTCCCGTTTTAAATTCACCTACTTGTAAGGAGGGCAGAATGAGAAAAATAAAACTTAACTGGGGCGAAAAATTTCCAGAACAAAGTACAATTACTTGCCTGCCTGTTGTACTATAACTCCTCAAACCTTACAATATTCTATAATCATTGCTTTCATGTGATACCCCCCAGTGGATTGATGGTCTCTTTTCCAAATTATATGCACTTTCTAAAAAGAATGAATTTGTCAATTTATAAAATTTAGTATTACAAGTTAATAAAGACAGTAAAACAATGTTAACAACATTTATATGCAAATGAACCTCTGTTCAAATCACTTAAATGATTGACAACTTGTATGAAATATATCGAATACCCTTAATTTTGACATTTGGAAACCCAGCGTTAAGGCCAAACAAAAAATATGTGTGGTTCTGGTTACACCTCCAAAAAAAATAGGGAAGGTGGGTAGGGATTTTTTTTTTTTTTTTTTTTTAACAAAATGATTTTCTAAATTTTTCCAAATAATACCTATTTCTTTTCGTTAGCATAAGTGAACTATTTTATGTGTAGAGTGTTAGATATGTTTTCTCTTAAGCATATGGATTAGATATGTGCTTTAATGTGTGAATAAAATGTCTTCGGTATTTAAACAGTTGTTTGCTGATTCTATTCATTCGAGTTCATACTCATCCAGAAAATACAATGTTTGAAGAAAATCAGCATGAGCAAATTGAATTATTTAACTGTTGTTTGGATATTATATTTTCTTTTTTTAGAATGTTAAGTTTTTACGAAGATGATAAATGCTGTCCTTGTTTTTAAAGGATGATATTAATTTCAGAATTGTATATTATAAGTAAAATTAATGGATATCTTAAGCATTATACAATAAATCTTAAATATAGATCATGATTTCTCCATCGGAATCTGCTGCGGAAGTCTTTATACAGGTATATAAAATCTAAAATTGTATATTATAGAATGCGAAAAAACAGAAATAATTTGTGAAGAGCTGAGGATATAAATCATAACTAATAAATGTTTTGTTTATTTTGAATTCAGTCTTTTCCAACTATTGTTCAGAAAAGAAATGTTTTATTTGTGGATGAACAGAGTGAAGGATAAGTGGCATTTCGATGTGGCGTGAAATATACTAGTCAACATTGGTAGGGCGCACCCTAGTTATGAATATGAAACAAATATTTTTAAATCAACAAGATGTGTTTGTGAAACACTGATGCCCCCGTATGGCATCTTATGGCGAAGGTTAAAGTTTCTCAAATGCAAGTCAAAATCCAGGCCAAAAGATAAAAAATGTTAAATTTGAAAGCCCTAGCTGCAACTGTTCAAAAGTTATGGCAAAGGTTAAAGTTTTTTAAAAGTAAGTAAAACATCACGGTCAAGGTCAAAGTTGTTGGTATCCAAAGAAAGGTCTTGTTACAAGGATTACATATGTGAAGTATGAAAGCCCTAGCTCCAACCGTTCAAAAGTTATGGCCAAGGTTAAAGTTTTTCAAAAGTAGGTCAAACTCTAAGGTCAAGGTCAAAAGGTCATAGTTGTTGGTATTCAAAGAAAGGCCTTGTCACAAAGAATACACATGTGAAGTTTGAAACCCCAAGCACCAACTGTTCAGAAGTTATGGTCAAGGTTAAAGTCTCATAAAATTTTGCAAAAGTGGGTCAAACTCCAACGTCAAGGTCAAAAGGTCAAATATGATGGTACCCAAAGAAAGGTCTTGTCACAAAGAATACATGTGAAATATGAAAGTCTTAGCTCCAACCAATCAAAAGTTATGGGCAAGGTTAAAATTGACAACAGACAGATAGACAAACAGACAAACAGATAAACAGACAAACAGACAGACAGGACAAAAACAATATACCCTCGGGATCTTTCGATCCGGGGGCATAAAAATAATGAAAACACAATCTTTTCTTTTTGTAAAAAATAAAGTCCAAGGTGAACATCCTTTTGTTTAAAATCAGTGTTTATAAATGAAATTAATTACTTTTATCCAGAATAGTTCTTATTTTACTTAATAATAAATTTTGAACGATAAACTTTTAAGAGCTGTCAGAGGAAAAGAATGTGACACCTATACTTTGTACAGTAATGTTTAAAACAAAATAAATCACCTAAGCAAGATGACACAGAATGATTCAAATTCGTCAGAATTACAAATATTTAATATTATTAAAATTTTAAATCCTTTCATGAAACCTTTTTGCCTCATTGAAGACTTCATACTTCCAAGCTCATTTCTCATATATATTGGTGTTTTGCAAGTTGACTTTATTCAGGTGAAATCAGCAGTCTTCTTTTTCACGTTTCCTCATGAACTGTTTTTTTTTTTCTACTTTCGGTTTAAAAGAAACGATCCTGATATAAATTATTTAATAATTCACAAGTTAATCTATCTTACACATTAGGCTAATTCTTGCGTAATCAATGCAATCAAATAAATGTTTTCTCATGTTACACGTGTATCTTTCCTCTAACTCCAAAAAACGTTACCTGGCCAGCTGTCTGTGTGCTTTCAAGCGAGAAGTGATTTCCTATCCTGACTTCACACCTTTGCGTGCATTAATAATAAAGGGACTAATCAGCATGCACTTGTCATAAACCAGCTGTAAACAGAGCAACTAACTGAATCTCGCCACTCTTGGGCATATTTATTTAATTTTGGCAACCAAAAAACAAACAAACAAAAAACATGGCGCTGGAAAAAGGTATACTGCTGCGCCATGCTAGCTTGCTTTAGATTTAACACCATCAAACACTTGCACTACGTGTTGAAACGATTTTTGCATGGAGGTCGCCATTGCTGGAACTAAAACTAATACCGAAGTGGATGACGGAAATCACGGAAAATTCCGGAAAATAAATATGAAAATTGCCAGAAAAAAGTTAAGGGTCGGGGATCTAAAATAGGGACGGTCGGGTAACGGGAACCACACATATTTTTTTATTTGGCCTAATAATATTCCATACATGATTGAGCTGTCACCTGATGAACCTTTAATTCTTTTCTATTTTTTATATGCTTTATATGTATATGAATTATAAGAGTAAATGTAAGTCCAAAAACTTATTTTGTGACATCAATTTCATACCTGTATTTGAGTTGCCTTTTTGAGGATATACCGGGTAGATTATTCAAAGTCGATGTACATGTAGTCTTACATGCTGCAGTTCTCTTGTACTTTAGCTATAAAATAAATTTTAATGTATACAATTGTGTAAGATGAAAAAATGTTTCAAACACTGAAACAGACTGAAACCTTAACAGACCAAAACTTTAACCAAAATATCCTCTATAACATGCTCTCTAAACTGAAGAGTATGGTCATATAATTGCAGTCATATGAATTTTGTTCAATGAATGATAAATGCAGAGAGAATTTGCAGAATATATAAAGAAAGTCTTATCGTTGGGAAATAAGCAGGTCCAGTACAATCTCTTAATTTAGCTATATAGCTTGAAATAGCTATATAGCTTTATTAAGCTATTCAAAATAGCTTAATTTAGCTATTTATATGCAGTTTTTCACAAAAATTATTTTGGTAAGAAATAGACAAAAAGTCGCATGTATTTGACCATTCATATATGTGCTATGGGCTATCGAAACAACAAGCAAAATCAAAGATATCTCCAACTTTGCAACTTTTGAATACTTTTAAGCAAAAGATAAATTTCTATTATTTGAGTAACTGTCCACTACCTTGTGTGCATTGAGGCATGGATAAGTATGATTGCTTCTCATTGTACTGAATTATTACCAATCAATTATCTTCTTGACCATAATTGGCCTCCTTTATAATTTCATTGAAGAAGTAACTGTATCAATTGCGCATGTAGCCTAAAAACTTTTAGAACTTTGAGTACAATGTCTCTTTTGTTTCTATTTTCCTAATTATCTCCCCTTGTTTAAGGGTCACAACCCTAGTTTTAGTATAAACGGAAGCCCTTGGCCCAAGGATACCCTGTGACAAATTTGACAATAATTGGCCAAAGGGTTCTTGAGTTATGGCCCATATTCTAAAAAGTTTACGCACACCGCACAAATGGCCATAGCATTAGCTTTTTGGGCCTTTGGCTCAGAAGAGCTAAAAATGAACCTCTTACATTGATTTTTGGTTGATATTTTTTACAGTTTTTTTATGAACAATGTACAGTATTTTCACCCAAATTCCAGTATTTTGAGGACTGCTGTACAGTATTTGGGCCTAAAAATTATTACATGAATGCAAGGAGATTTTAATGAGCGAGTTTTATAATGCATCAATTTCAGATGAGTTCAAGGTTGAGTATCATCACTGCACCAAGGTGCGACTTTTTGTGCATGCTGAGAAAAGTACACATTTAAGAAAAACTGATATAAAATAGCTAAATTAAGCTATTCTGAATATAGTTAGAATAATCTAACTGTGTCTCGGGACAAGCCCTCACCACAGTTAGAATATGTCCCATATACTTGCAATGTAGCAAATCGGAGTGGATCCACTCCGAAATGATTTTGAAGAAGACAAAAGGAGTTGCATTGAAAATAACTACCAAATTAATCATAACAAACATTTTTGAGATTGTATATGCCTTTTAACCTACAAATTAATCCATATATATACGAAAATTCAACTCATTTTCTCAACGTTTTTTCCTCGCTTCAAATTTAACGCCATGTTGACATTCGGAACTCTCTGGATTCTTCATACAAAATGCAGAGAATTCGAGTTATCGCCCGTGTTTATTTTGCTACATTGCGAATACACGGAACAAATTCTATCCTTAAACCGGGTCCGTAGGACAATATCATTTTAACGATAGAACGTTCTATCTATTCTGAATAGCTTAATAAAGCTATATAGCTAAATCGGTGTCGGGTGGTTACGTTCCGATTCTGTGTTCGACCCGCGTGGTTACGACCCAAGTGGTTTCGACCTACTCTAATGTATATCCCTACATGTGAATACCTGAGTACAGGGGTATACACTGTGCGGTAAACAAATGGATATTCGGTAGCTGTATATTGTATGGCTTCAGAGATGTACATGTCAACAGGGACCTATATACTAACGTTAGTATATAGGTCCCTGGTGTC